AGTACAGCTTCTTGCTACTAGGCCACCAGAGCTCGCCAGCTCAAGAAGTAATTCTTAAAAAAATAAAATTAATTGTAAGATCTCTAGCAAAACATTAGAAAACACTATTGAATGAAAATAGGGATGATATCCATAGATGGAGTTATAAAATGGAGAAGTTCTGCCTCACATATTTTCCAAGGTTGTAATCTTTATAGAAACAGACTACCATGTCTTTCTTCTTTTAGCAACTGGTGAGTTCAAACTACTGACTTCAGTTAGCATGTGACTCCTTTAACCGCTGTGCTATATGAGCCCCCTATGTCATAGTCATGGAAGAACATGGCAAACTCACTCTCAGATTTACATGGAAATGAAAAGGGCAAGTCACTTTGAGTTGGAACAGATTCACTGACACCTAACTCCACCACCACCTCCCTCATATCCAGTCTGTATCCTCTTTTTATGGAAGAAGGTAAGACAGATTGCCAAACAGGATTGGCCAAAGCACACTTTAATTATTAGAGTGGAACATATTTTTGTTATATTAGAAAGTTATAGAAGTCCCCCCTATTTATTTTCATCTCTAGGGCATTGGGTCATACAGTCCTAAGGTTAATATACCAAGAACTAATATGTTTGAATGTACATTTTCTGCTTGGTTCTGGTATATAGAAATGAGATTAATTTCTGTATATTAAATTTGATTCCAACAACCATGCTAAACTCACTTTCTAATAATCTCTAGATTTTTAAATGCAAGGTTTAATAAAAAGACTGATAGATTTGAGAAATTAGACATATAAATATATATATATATTTGATTACTGAAAAAGAAGGCATTTCAGAGTAGTATTTACTTTTAGTATTGCCAGGATAATTAGATGCATGTTTAGGGGGTAGATGAGGATGAAATGAAACTACCTAACACTTTTATGTAAGAATTAATACAGACCTAAATCTATAATAAGACAAACTTTAAAAATGTTAGAAAACAGAAAAATCTCTTTATGACTTTTAGATAGGGATTCTTGGAACACAAAAGGAATAAATTAAAAATTAAAAGTGGGATCTGTTACTTAAAAGTCACCATTCATCATGGGAGAGGATATTAATGTTTCTGAAAATTAATAGGAAAAAGATAACTCAATAGAAAAACACAGATACTTGAAATAGATCCTGTGCAGAAAGCCAAAAATATGTGAAAAGGTGCTTTAAAAATGACAAGAAAAATACAAGAACAAATCATGGGATAACATAAACCAACACTCACCCTTCAGAATAAATAAAGATAAAAAATTTCCAATACCAAATGTTGGTGAGATTGTTCCAAAGTGGTATACAAAAGCTGAACAGTGAATAAAAAAGAACTGATGCCTCTGTATTATCATGTTGGTGAAGAATAGTAAATATATGGTGGACTGCCAGAAGACTGAACAAATCCATTTTGTAAGAAGTAAAGCCATAATGCTGCTTAGAAGTGAGGTGTCAAGACTTTGTCTCATATACTTTGGACATGGTGTCAAGAGGGACTAGCTCGTAAAGAGGACATCATGCTTCGTGAGTGAAAAAGAGGAAGACCCTTGACTAAATATATTGAAGCAATGGATACAACAGAGTGCTCCAACAGCCAACAATTGTGAGGATGGTACAGGATCAAGCAACATTTCAGTCTGTTCTGGGATTCTCATTCTTCTCAAGAGTAGCTACAACATGTTACGATCCCCATAGTCAAATGCTTTTGTCTAGTCAATGAAACACAGATATGCATTCTTCTTGTACTCTCTGCTTTCAGCCAAGTTCCATCTGACATCGGCAATGATGTTCCTAAAGCCATGGCCTCTTCTAAACCTAAACTTAGTTCTGGTAGTTCTATGCTGATTACTTTTCCAGTCATTTAGGATAATCTTCAGCAAAATTTTGCTTATATGTGATATTATTCGATAATTTCCACACTCTTTCAGAGCACCCTTTTTTTGGAATAGGAATAAATATGGATCTCTTAAGTAAGCTGGCCAAGTAACTATCCTTGAGATTTTTTGGTACAACTTGGTGAATACTTCTAGGGCTACATTTCTTTGTTGAAATATGTCAGTTAGTATTCCATCAGTTCCTGGTGCCGTGTTTTTTGCCAGTTCCTTCAGAACAACTTGAACTTCCTCCTTCAACACGATTGCCTCTTGATCATATGTTTGATGAAATTCTTCTGTGTCAGTTCTTTTTTGATACAGTGGGTTTGTGTATTCCTCCCGCCTTCTTTATATGCATCCTGGATCATTCAGTATTCTGCCAATAACATCTGTAAGTATTGCAACTCAAGGCTTAAATTTTTTCCTCAGTTCCTTCAGCTTAAGAAATGTTGAGCAAGTTCATCCCATTTGATTCTCTGACTCCAACTCATTGCATGTTTTGTTATAATTCTTTTCTTTGTCTTACTGAACTGCCTTTTGAAATCTTCCGTGCAGCTCCTTAACTTCATGATTTCTTGCTTTGGCTTCTTGGCGCTCTAGTGCAGTATTCCAAGACTCTTCTGAATCTTGTTCTTTTCTTCTTCCTTTGTCTTTGTAATGTAATGACCCTTTGCGTTCATCGTGGATAATATTCTTTATATCCTCCCACAGCTCATATGCGCTTTGTTCATTAGTGTCCAAAGCCTAAAACCTGTTTTTGATTTGGTTTTTTAATTCAGGTGAGACAGACTCAAAGTCAAATTTTAGTTCTTGTGGATTTGATTTCATTCTCTTTTGCTTCAGTTTAAATGTGCATATGAGTAGTTGATGGTCTGTTCCACAGTCAGCACTTGGTCTAGTTTTCACAGCTGATATTGATCTTTTCCAACAATTCTTTCTACAGATATAATCAGTCTGATTCCTGTATAGACCATCACGTGAAGTCCATGTGTATAGCCATCATGTTTCTTTTTTCTTTTCTTTTTTTTTCTTGTTGTATACTGTTGAATTGGATTCGGCTGGCACGGGAGGTGATTACCCCATCTTCTGCTGTGCCTTTGAGATTGTAGCACAGCTTCTTGACACTAGACCACCAGAACTGCCCTTGTTCAGTTCTTATAAAAGATACTTGTAATGAATAAGTCACAAATGGTCTTTCTATCTCCAGCCTCATTTCTGTCCCCATGACCATGTTTTCCAACTACTGATCCTTCTCTCTTGTTTCCAACTTTTGCATTCCAGTCACCCATTATTAATGCACCTTGGCTGAATGTTCAATTAATTTCTGACTGGAAGAGTTGGTAGAAACATTCTACTTCCTCCTCATTGGCTTTGGTTGTTGGTGCATATATTTGAATGATAGTGGTATTAACAAGTCTTTCTTGTCTGTGTATGGATATTATCCAGTTGCTCACAAATTATGTTTCAGGATGGATCTAGAAATGATCTTTTAGAAGATTCTTACCACCGGGCCAGTTGACAGCACCGTGATAGAGAAGAGATTGAGATTGTTAACAATTTCAGCTTTTTCAGGTCCATAATCAACACTCTTGGAAACAGCAGCCAGGAAATCAAAAGATGAGTTGCATTGGGGAAGCCTCCTGTCAAGGACCTCTCCAGAGTGCTGAAGTCTAAAGGTGTCAGTCTGTAGACTAAGGTGCACCTGATCCAGGCTATGATCTTCCCGGTTACTTGCTATGCATCAGAGAGCTGGGCAGTGACTAAGGGTGACAGAAAAAACAAAACATACCTATGAGTTGTGGTGCTGGAAAAGAGTATTGAACATGCCATGGACTGCCAAGGGAACAAACACTTTTGGAGAGGGGTGAAACCAAGTTACTCTCTAGAGCCAAGGATTTTAAAGTTTTTCTCACCTACTGTGCGCATGTTGCCAGAAGCGAGCAGTCCTTGGAGAAGGATATTATGCTTGAAAGGGTGAAGGGTCAGTGCAGGAGAAGATGACCCTGGATGAGATGGATTGACAAAGTTACTGGGGTAATGGGGAAAGGTAAATAGGGGATAGTGAGATTGACTCAGAATAGGACAGAGTTCAGAGCTGTTTTTTACATAGGGTCACAAGTGACTTGATAACATGTAACAACAACAACTATTTTATCAAGTAAAATATTTCAAAAGAAGATATATATGAAATATATAAATTTTTTAATCTCTTTTTTTTTTCATTTTAGGTACATACATATAAAGTATAAAATCATATTTTGGGAAGATTTTCATGGATTTAGATTAGTAGCTACGTCTTGGGACAAGGAGAATAAGGTTAGGGCCTTGATCTGTACACCGTTTCATTTCTTAATAGGAAAATTCTGAATCAAAGATGACAGATACTCTTAGTCTGATGGGTGTCTATTATCTTCAGTACATGGGTGTCTTTTATATCCTTTTCTGTACATTCCTGTATGCAATATTTCATGGTTAAAAATTAAGAAAGGACGAAGCATATTCTTTCAAGTATAAAGGAATAGGAGACACAGATCCAATATGTGATGTGACTATAATATTTTATTTTTCATCCCTAAGGTACCTGAAGCTCTTCACTTTTCTACCCCTTTCAGAGATTAACCACATAATGCAGCTGCATGACAGAGAGCCAGAAAAGCGTGGTCCTCAGAAGCGACTTGCTGCAGAAGTAACAAAGCTTGTCCACGGACGAGAAGGGTTAGAATCTGCTAAAAGGTAAACTTTTAAAATCATTTAGACTCCATGAAGCTATTTTATTTAGTTGATAGTTTTTAAAAAATCTGGAGCCACACTCTTATTAAAGATTGTTGTTCTACTTAATGCTGTAAAGTCGCCTCTCTCTTATTGGGGGAAACGATTATGTTAAGTTTGTAAATTATTAAAGATGTTTCAGAACTTTGAAATATAACAAATGTTTTATTTAAGTTTGTCTTTTATTTAATAATCGCTCGTGATTTGGCTCTCAAAAATTTGTTTTTCAGATGTACACATGCCCTTTATCATAGTAGCATAGATGCACTGGAGGTCATGTCTGATCAAGAATTGAAAGAGTTATTTAAAGAAGCTTCATTTTCTGAATTAGTTCTTGATCCTGGAACAAGCGTCCTAGATACTTGCCGCAAAGCAAATGCTATTCCAGATGGTCCCCGAGGGTAAGATTATTTGAATTAAAAACACGCTAATTCAACATTAATGTTAAAATTCATAGTATTTTTTTTTCTTGAGAGAATGTTCCTGATAGGCTGTAATGGCATCTCATTCTTTAGAGAACTTAAATTAGCAGACAATAAACTATTTTCAGAGAATTGAAAATTACTGTTAAAAAGACCTTAAATTTCCTATAAGCTCAAAGTTATTGTGTTGTTTACATCCACCTGAGTCAGTTTTCCTCTAACACTGGAAGAGCCTAGCATTTAAAGGACCACATTTATACATAGAATCTGTCACTTCCGGAAAGGATCAGTTTGATACGACGACAGCTAGTTAGTCCCCAGATGAATAGTCAGTCTATGTCCTCTAGAGAGGGCTTAAGGCATAATCTAACCTATTTTAAATATTAGTTGATATTCTAAAAGTGAAATAAGTATATGATCTAGTCCATAGGACTAGTACTACAAACTATTCCTTTTGAGAGTTGGGTTTTTCTTATTCATGAAATGAGTTGTTGCTATTGTTCATTGCCTTTAAGTTGACAGTGATTCATAGCTGACCCTTCAATGGATTTTCAGAGACTGTAATTGCATGGGAGGTGATTGTCCCTATTTCCTCTGTGGAGCCACTAGGGAACATGAACCTCTTGCCTTTGGGTTGGCAGCACTACTCTTTACCCACTATATTTTAAGTCCTCACATATTATTAGAAAATAATGTGTTCCACAAAAAGTAGTTTAAAAGGAAGAACATTAGTTAACTAGAAGACCTAAGTGCCTGATCTATAAAAGCTTTTGTATAAGTCAGATAATTGTCAGCTCATATTCATTAAGTATGATATTTGTTACATTATTGGTGCTCTTTCCTTTCATTTGTTTCTGTTTATTTGCTTCTATACTAATGAGCCTTGGTTTGCTGTATATTTATAGAAAATCTCTTGTTTCCCTTTGCATCTCTTGCCACTTCACCATACGTTGACTTGGTAGGTGGTATAATATACTTCCCCTAAAATGAGTCACTGATTCTAAGAATTTTTATCATTGAAAGTGGTTTTTGATTTTCTGTTAAACTTTGTGATTGATTGACTTACTAATATTGAAGTTTTGTCTACCTAAGATGACCCATCACTTGACATTTTGTTGTCCTGTGACTGTTGCTGTGATGCTCGAAGCTTTGCCACTAGTAGACCAAATGCCAGCTGGTTGACAGATTTCAGCAGAGCTTTCAGACTAAGACGGACAAGAAAGACCTGATGAGGTGAATCATTGTCTCACAGAGGACTGAAAGATGAGCCCCTCAGGTTGGAAGGCTGACAGAATACATCTGGGAGAGTGCTGCCTCCTCACAGTAGAGTCAGCTTTAATGATGTGGAAGTAAAGTTTTCAAGCACTTCATCTACTGGCATAGCACAGCTTGAATTGAGAAGAAAAAAAAAACAAAAATCTTTCATAATTTGAGTACCTTCGAGTCAATTTGGACTCGTAACAATCCAGTTAACTTTGTCCTGTGTTGCACCCTCCTCACAATCCTTGATATGCTCAAGACCTTTGTTTTAGTCACTGTATTTATCAAACTTATTGAGGGTCTTCCCCTGACAGTGTGTTATGTTGGGACCACCACAAAACTGAACCTCCAGTAGATCTTCAGAAGCTGTAAAATGCACCGGGGGGAGATTGCCCATCTTTCTCCCACGGAGCAGCTAATGGATTTAAACTGCTTGCCTTTTGGTTGATGGTACAGGTGCTTACTGCAAGGCCATCAGAGCTCTCTTCTATTTATAGTTGAAATGTGAAATATACAAAATCTGAATCTAGGAAAATTGAAAGTCATTAAAAATGAAATGCTTTAATTGGATAAATCTGCTGCAAAAGATCTTTTTTTAAAGTGTCATAAAACGACAATATCATGTTGAGGACTAAAGTGCTCCTGATTAGGCTATAGTATTTTTAGTTCTGTAATATGAATGGGAAAGCTGGACAATGACTAAGGAAGACTGAAGAAGTGATGGCTGTGCATTAAATTGTTGGGCAAGAGTATTGAATATTCAGTGGTTTGCCAAAAGAATGAATAAATCTGTCTTGAAAGTACAGCCAGAATGCTGCTAAAATGTGAGGGTGGTGGGACTGATGTCACAGGAAGGGACCACTCCCTGGAGAAGAGCATCATGGATGATAAAGCAGAGATTCACTGAATAAGAAGCAGACTGTTTGGTGAGAGAGTGACACAGTAGCTTTAACAATAGCCTCAAACCTTTCAGAGTTGATGTTTATAAACCTTTGTATAGTAATTGCTTCTTTATACCATTCAGATAAGAGAAAAGCCATCATTTGCCTTTCATAAGAACTTACAAGGCCATGAACGCTCTAGCTTTCATTATCTCTTCAAATTACTTGTCTAGCATCTGCCATGTTTTCTTCTGCTTCTGAGTGTAACTCTCTCAGTTTAAATGTCACATTAAAAAAAAAATAAAATAAATGTCACATTTATCCAGCTGGTGTGCTCCTAAAGCAGCCTCTCCAACTCCTTATAGCACTTTTCAGTGCATTGTAACTCTTTCTCTTGAACTTTTTACTAGATTCCAGTACTGTATATATTTAATCGGGCCAAGAAAAAAAACAACCTATCTACACACCAGCTCTACAGAACACATCACCTTCCCTCAGAAGCATTGCTACTGAACTTAGGAGACACTGGTCACATCATAAGAAACTGTCTGAAGCCGACGTGTTTGGAATCATGGAAGCCAAGGAAGCTTCAAATATAAGCTGTTAGATCAAAGGGGGGGGACAATGGGAGATGGATGTTGAAGGGAAGATGGGTATCTTGCCTGGTGCATGGTGAAGCAGGGAAATAACTGGGTAAAGACACATGTGCCAAGGAGAGGGACAACACGGATACAAATGGTTAACTCCACAATAAGGAATATATCTTTCACTTTACTATAAAATGCTTTTCTGTCTGATACTTCTCTAAATCTGAACATTCAGATTAAGACAGACTAGGAAGGATTGGCCATCCACTTCTGAAATAGCAGGCCTCCGAAAACCCTCTGTACAACAGAACACATGTAGATAACAGAAAGGGCAACTGAGGCTGAGCTTTCAGGTATAGAAATACAAAGGAAAAGGAACAGTTGTAAGGAGACACTAATGATTGGGACATGGAATGTGAGAACCATGAATGTAGGAAAATTAGATATTGTTAAGGAAGAAATGGAACGCATAAATATTGACATACTAGGCATTGGGGGAGATGAGATGGACTGGCATGGGGCATTTTGAGTCTGTTGATCATATATTACTCTGGAGATGAAAAGGTGAGGAAAAATGAAGTTGCTTTCATAGTTAAGAAAGCCATTGCTAGATCCATCTTGATATTGTGAGTGACAGGATAATATCTATACGCATACAAGGAAAGCCAGTGAATACCACTATCATTCAGATATATGCACCAACAACCAGAGCCAAGGAAGAAGAGATAGAAGATTTTTACCAACTCTTACAATCAGAGATCGATCAAACATGCAATCAAGATACATTGATAATAATGGGTGACTGGAATGCAAAAGTTGGGAACAGAGAAGAAGATTCAGCAGTTGGAAAACATGGGCTCGGTGACAGAAATGGAGCTGAAGAGAGGATGATTGAATTTTGCACAATCAGTGACTTACTCATTGCAAATATGTTTTTTAAGAGATATAAATGCTGGTTATATACATGGACTTCACCTGATGGTTTGCATAGGAATCAGATTGATTACTGTCAGCTGTGAAAACTAGGCCCGGAGCTGATTGTGGAACAGACCACTAACTACTCATATGCAAGTTCAAGCTGAAACTGAGGAAAATTAAACCTAGTCCACAGGAACCAAAGTATGACTTTGAGTGTATCCCACTTGAATTTCAGAACCATCTCAGGAACAGGTTTGAGGCCTTGAAGACTAATGAGCAAAGACCAGATGAGTTGTGGGAGGATATCAAGGATATCATCCAAGAAGAGTGCAAACATTCATTACAAAGACAGAAAAGGAAGAAAAGACCAAAATGGATGTCAGAAGAGACTCAGAATATTGCACTGGAGCGCAGAGAAGCCAAAGCAGAGGGAAGAATTCAAGATACTAAAGAGTGGAATAGAAGATTTCAAAAGGCAGCATGGGATGACAAAGTAAAATATTACAATGAAATGTGTAAGCAGTTGGAGTCAGAAAATCGAAAGGGCCGAACTCGCTCAGCATTTCTTAAGCTCAAGGAACTGAAGAACAAATTCAAACCTCGAGTTGTTATAATAAAGGATGCTTTTGGCAGAATGTTAAATGATCCAGGAAGTATTAAAAGAAGATGGAAGGAATATACTGAGTCACTGTATCAGAAGGAATTGGCAGACATAGAAGAATTTAATGAAATAACATGAACAAGAGCCTATGGTGATGAAGGAAGAACTTCAAGCTGCTTTGAAGGAAATAGCAAAAAATAAGGCTCCAGGAAT